ATATAATAAAGAGTAAAAAGTAAAACTATCGTGTTCTTGTGTTCTTTTCATGTGTGCACATTACAAATACTTTAAGACTGTAGTACTATCTCTGTTTTCGTTTTGACTATTATTGGATTAAATTCTATGATGACATCCTCACAACAGAAAAACCTCTATTCTTTCTGATCCAATTCATGTTCAGATGGAAAACCTCACTCTCCAATGGCCTTTTTGCACTTAAATGCACGGTTTGGGGCGGCCTGGCCTGGGTTCAAACCTGGGTTGGGCGTGTGCATTTGCCCTCATGGCCCAGTTTCAGCCAGATTACTGGTCCCTTGAGACCTGTGGTTCTGTTCGGCCTCTCCTCCTTGGCTCAATTTTACATCAGCTACTGTTGCCCATTGATCGATTCATTGGCTGTAGGGCTCATGTCACACAGTTAAGCTTAACTTGAATTATTTGAAGTGACTGTAATGATTTTTCACAAGTTCCAACTACACAACTGTAGCAAGCTACCAAACAACAAGCTAACATTAGCTACCATTAGCTTAACCATCCTCTGTCGTCCTGCCCTCTCGTCTTCAGTGTCATAATGCTTGATGGTCCAGTTACAATGTTCGATACTTTTCTTTTGAGTTTGGTGTAGTCCATTGTTATGTTGCAAATAAAACAAAATAAGATGTACACGTTTTCAATATGATGATCCCCACGCACTTAGAGGTGGCTATCCGCTCAAAGCCAACACAACCAGCCGGAGTAGAGTAAGGCCAGGCTGACTGTGGCTGGACTGAACTGGGTCTTACAGTGCAAAAATGCCATTACTGGATTTTGGACTTTCTCTCTGGAAGACAACAGTTTGTGTTGTCACGCTCTATTGTATTGGACCCTGGGATTCCTCAGGGCTGTGTACTCAGTCCTTTGCTTTTCAGTTCTCTGACACTTGACTGTTATGTTGAATTCATCCCATGGCAGTTCATTAATTGAGCTGATGATACAGCAGTGGTGGCACTCCTCAGCGATGACAATAAAACATCGCATTAAGTTGTGGTGGAACACTTAGTGAGCCAATGTGAATCTTAGCTAAACCAATAAGCTGATTGTGGAGTATATAAAAAGGCAACTACAACACTGGTGGTTGCATAAAATAAAATAATTCTCCTCTTGGCATGCCTGAGAAGGGAAAAGTGGACTAATTTGTCATTTCCTTCAGCTGTAACTTATTGGCTTAATGAAGACATAAAACATAATCTTGTTTAAATATGCATGTTTTTTGCATGATAGAGCTTTAACCAGCATATTTAGATGCCCCCATCCTAAATAAAATAAAAATCTTCAATTTTTTTATTTTTAACATTTTATATGTTTTCTAAGTTTTACTGTGAATAAAATATTAGTTTATGAGATTTTCAAATGATTGAATTATTTTACTTTTTACACAATTCCCCAACTTTTATGGATTTGGTGTTGTAAAAGAAGCCTTGTAGTTTAAATATTCATGTTGCCTTTTATTACACAGAGCAGTCACTCTGATATGATCCGTATTGTGAAAGTTTTGTATTACAGCTAAAGTCTTGAACACTGAATGATTGTTGTGACCGGGAATTTTATTTCCAGTTTTCCCAGAATCAGCTTTTTTTAAAATAAAGTCTTACCTTGTACAAAATTTCAGAGTAAAGTTAAATGATTTTTTTAAATTAAAATACACTAAAGTTTAGGTTTATCAGCCTGCTAACATAAGAAAATTGATTGTAAACTCTTAAGGCAGGGGTGTCAAACTCATTTTCACCAAGGGCCTCATGAGCGTTATGGTGGCCCTCGAAGGGCCAGTTGTAATGAACTTTGACTAAACAGTGTTTTACACATCCTCTTTAAAACACTGATAAGAACTAATAGTATGACTAAATCTGAAATAAATACAGAAAAAAAATATTGAAAGTAAAAAAATTTCTAACTGATGAGTTTCTAGTGAGTAGCTACTATGCATTATGGCAGATTTAGTTTATGGTCGATTCTGACTTTAAAACAGCTGATTTTCATACAGCTCAGTTACTTAAAGCCAACAGCTCAGGGGCAGAACAATTGTTAT